AAAAAAAACTAGTGTTACCTCCTTAACCCTTCTTAATTTACAAAATAAAAAAACTTAATCCTTCATATTAACTATCTAATCTAAACAGATTTACATTATTTTTAATCCCTCATGAGGGGTTAACTAAGTTAACCCTTCTCCTTAACACTTCTCTCCTAATACTTGGCCAGATGGCACCTACAGGATTTAAGGGACTATGCAATTTCCAAGATTCAAGGAATCAATATGCAATTACTGAATATTTAAGGGACAGGTATCTAAAAAAACCTTAGTTTTTTTTGTTATTCTATCCATAATAACTCAGAGATATAAAAATTAGATAGATAAGTAGAAATTTGCAAACAAATGCCAATTAATGAAATTATTTTCCTATTCAATAGTTATGAAGAAACCATTTTATGTGGAAGCAAGCCACCACTTTTAAGTTTTTAAAAATAAAGGAAAAGTCAAATCAGCAAAAACAAAATTCTTCGGGATCATATATTTAGGCCATAATGCAAAAAGTATGGGCAGAAATTTATAGCTACAAGGAAATAGGAAGTTAAATATGTATAAGTTCATTTGTAAGTACTATGAGTGATGAGTTTGAATAGAAAAACAGAGTTTGAAGTAGAACAGAATCAAAGGACTTACTCCAAACGTCGGTGGACAAACGTAAGCAATGGGAGATCTGCCTCATCTGTTAGTAGCCTATATGCTATAACCCTGTCACAATCTCTGATTAAGGATATTGCCAAAGTATCATCCAGGTGAAGAACTTGATCTGCATATACCTGCAGAAAGCTCCAATATCAACCTACATACTTTGTAAGAAAATACGTAGCTAACTACTTAGGGCCAGTTTGATATTGCTTTTTTTAGAGTGCTTCTGCATATTTGTTTTTCCAAGTAGTCAATACTATTGTTTGGTAAAAGCTTTTTTGGCATGCTTACTAAAACTACTTATGCTTTTAAGAAGGTGCTTTTAGAAGCAATCTAAATATGCTTTTAAAAGTATCTTCTGTTTTTTTTAGTTTATATACCACACATATCTTTTCTTTTAACAATGACCATTAAGCAAGCACAGTTATACCAAACACCATAACTGCTTTTTTAACATTTTTTTTTATATTTTATTATCAAATAGCTAATTTCAACAGCTTATACTTCTATAAGTTGCTTTTATAAGGAGCTTATTGTAAGCACCAACAATACTAAATTTGCCCTTAATATATCTAAAAGAAGTAAATTACATGCATTGCAACAACATACCTTAACAACATACAAGGTCTCGTTGTCCTTCAAAAAACAAGTGTAGCCCAAAGCCTGTATAAGATCCTTGCAGTTTCCATCTTCGGGTAGGTTTACAGTATACAACACAGGACCAGAAGTATCACCACTGAAGACTGTAATACTCATTGTTCTTAAAGCAATAGATGGTACCGACAGAGATAAGTATGTAAACAAGTCGAATGTGACTGAGCAAGTCGCACACTCTGGACAAGTTACTGTCGACTTGTACCCCCCCCCTGTAGTCAACCAATATACTCTAGATATTATTTTTATGAAGTTTGATTTAAAATCAATTTCAAGAAAATACAAAAAACTGAATGAGAAAAACAAGAAAATAATGTAACATCTAGGGTCCAAAAAATTTAAATTCCTTAATTACTAGGAATGATCAATTTGAAGAACAAGATTATATTGATGAAGTTCCCAATTGAAAAGATAATAAGAAATTTTAGCATTTAAGTGCTCTTGTTTCATCAATAATACAAGAAATGCCTCGTGTTAATGCATATTTTTAATTAATCATGTTGCTTTAGTAAAATGCTGCAGAAAATTAATTTAAAAGTTCTATGTGGATTTCTTGTATCATATTGGATGACTCTTGAATAACCCACCCAATAGGTAAATTTCTAGAGTATTTTAACAACATAAAATGATAAAATGGAAACAGCCACAAAATTAGTAGTTTGTCATATATTTTATAGAATTTAAGGAGTTATATACAAACTTGAATTACGACAAGTCAAAGTTTTCTCTTAAAGAAAGACGAGTTATTACTGGTCACTATATTTCTCTCGTAGTTGGGCATGTATATCCATATTTTAATTGCTTGGATGACCGCTCATGAAATTAAATACTATCTGGATTACTTGTCACTTCTAATGTTTTTTATTAATTTAGATTGTATATTTTCTTTCAGTTTAAGAAATAGAACTTACTAGGAATCTCACAAATCAGTATTTACAAGAATAAAATGTCAAATGCAATATAATTATCCAATATAAGTTGCTCGATATGTCAAAATTTTCACATTTGATTAGGGTATCCACTGCTAGTTGCTCTTTTCTTTCTAGGGTTACATTTGCATATAGTTAGTAAGGATCACCAAAGTGATTTGAACCTAGCATTTGTACATTCACTTAAAATATTTTGGCAGGCAAACCCAATAAATAAGATAAGGTGAGGGATATCATCACCCGTTATTTAGTCCAAAAATCACTTAATCACTTATCTTATATAAGCAAACCTTAAAATTTATTAGATATCGGCATCTAAAGATTCCAGCTCAATAGGGGATTAGAGATCTGAAGGGGTGAACTTGCTCTAAGGTTGGTTGATTCGGTTGGTGTGTAAGGAAAGAAGTCAGAGTGAGCTACCTCCAAGCTTGAAAGACGGCTTATTTACTGCAAAAACTCATACTCTCACACCACTTACCCGTTTCACACCGATCTAGAAAAGAAAGCAGCTTTGATAGAAGCAGAGGAATACCTATAGATTCCTGGAAAAATCCTAGATAGCTCGGGAAAGACCTTTCAATTGCAGAAAAAATAAAAAACTTGATAATCAGATGGTCTAGAGTTAGAATATGGGGATAATATCCAATTGCCTCGAAAAGAAGATCAAGGGGTAAAAATAGCTACTAGTTCGCTAGCTTTCCATCCATATATCCATATTATATCTCTAGAATGAAAAAAACCACTCGCAAGTCCTCGCAAGAAATGAGGTTACTTAATTGGTTTCTGAGTTACACTCTGTAGGCACCCACTCCGTACTTACTCTTATCTAGTCAATTGGTCAATTAATCTAATGTATGTTATGGTCTGAAGGAACGATTGGTTAGGAGTCGTCTAGTGATTTACATTTGGCGAAGAGGACCATAACTTGATTGAAGTGGTTGCTCCTTTACATTGTTTCTCCTTTTTTTTAATAGATCTTTTTCTTAGATCTTTATAAACAACCTTAAGAAAAAGGGAAAAAGGAGAGTTTCATTGGTGCATGCAATATCCCTTTTGCTCTTAGAAAAAGAACCAAGAAATGATTGTATAACATACCCGGAGACACCATGGAGGGAATTTGTTAAGACTTTCCTTTGAAAAAAAAATCCTATCAATAAAACAACACGCCTTATGAACCAAATATTATAGTTCAGACAAATTAGTGTCGAACCATTCTGGAAGTATTTTGATAGATTCAAAAATCTTCCAGTCAAGTGTCCTCATCATTCATTAGAGAAATTGAGGATGTTCTAATCAGGGTTGGGGATTTCATCTTTCCAGTTGACTTTTTTTATATTAAGCAACCAACCTGTTCTAAATCACAAGGATCGGATTACAGTCATCCTAGGCGACCATTCTTACCTACAACTAATGCATTGATCAAGTATAGGACCGGTCCAATGAAACTGTAATCCAGAAACATGAATGTAGACTTGAACATCTTCAATCTAGGAAAATAACCTAGTGATCCAGCTAACCAACCCCTGGAACTTGATCTGATCTAGGGAACACCTAGTGAATATTTTTAGGAAGAATGCACTGAGTTAGACCTAAGTTTAACCGATCTTAGCTTTGACTAAATCTTTGATGAAGAACTTAGGCTCCTACAACAATCAGTAGATCATGTCTCAACCTTGAGATAGCAAACTGAACCTGAACAACTTAGTCTAGAACCTCGAACCCAACTACGTCCACTCAAACCTCTAGCAAAAAATCTCGACAATGCCAATTATGTGAAAATGAAACTACGGGGTTAAAAATGTCCATCTCTGCATATGATGTGAAACATGCACATAATTCACCATTGAGATAGAGTTTTAATTAATTGTGGATTTATGGCTTCCAATAAATTTATTTCGTTTCAAATTATTCTGGGGTACTTGGCTTAACCAAAGGCATACCCCCATTTTACATTTGGTTTCTTTTGTCGGTTTAGAGACCAGACAACCTATCTTGATTTTAGCCACTTTTTGTGATTTTTCCAGTTTAGAGACATAAAAGTCGAGTTTGATTTGGGTCTTTCGAGTAGAGGACTTTCTCATTAGAAAAAAGTTTATTTGGATTTTTGTAACAGGGAGAGGGCTTTCCTGCTCTATATATATTGATTTAGAATTCTCTAATGAGTAGAGGACTTCCTCGATAGATGGATTTCAATGGATTTTTGATAAATGGAGGACTTTTCTATTAAGAATGGAATTTTAGGCCTTTTGACAAGTAGAGGACTTTCTTATTAAAGTATAAGATTTTATAGTCTTCTGATTAGGAGATGACTTTCTAAACAGATGGTAGTTTAAATTTGAAATTTCAATTTAGTGGCATAATGGTCGAATTTGATGTTTTACAGTTCTGGTATGTGGAGGTGAAGTTTAGAATTTGATCTAGATTAACGATATAGAGGTCAAATTTGCTATTTGGTTCAGTTTAGTGATGTAGAGTACGAGTTTGGTTTTTAGGATTCCAGATTAGTGACATGCAGGTCAGATTTTAGTTGGCTTAGTTTAATGACATAGAGGCCAAATTTGGAATTTTTCAATTTAACGACGGAGATATCGAATTTGGTTTTTGACCCAGTTTAGGGACGTAGAGGTCAAATTTGATTTGTTGTTCAGATTTTATATCTATTTATCTAGTTTAATGACTTAGAGGATAGCAAAATTGAACCTTTTGATTTTGATTGTGTACAAGTTTTTGCGTAGTATATATCGCGTGATGCACTTCTTTTACATCACATTTTATCCCATGTGTTTTCTTTCTACACCAGATTTTTATCTAGTTTAGGGACGTAGAGGTCTGTAGCTTCTCTTGAGCATATTTTTGCAATTTTTGCATCATCTTGTAACTTCTGTAGATTCTGAGAGCTATCTTATGATCTCTATAGCGGTTTAGGGGCATTTTTGAAATTCTGCACATCTCAGGACATTTTTGAAAATTCTACATAGCTAGGACCTTTTCTTGATGGGTTTTTGAAATTCTGCACATCTCAGGACATTTTTGAAAATTCTACATAGCTAGGACCTTTTCTTGATGGGTTAGAGTCTTTTCAACAATTACTGAACACTGTTTTAAAAAACCTCCGCCTAGTCCGCTTAGACGTACGCCTAGGCCTAGACGGTACCTAGACCGTCTAACTAGCGTCTAGCGCCTAGGCGGTATTTATTCTATCCATCTAGATTTTACGAGCATTTAGGAGAGCATTGTCTGTTTACGTGGATTACACCCTGTTGGCCTTGATTGTGATTTTATGTGGCGTAGCCTACACGTCCTCCAAACTCCATTAACCTTCAAATATGAACATCTTCACTACATCCTCCGACCTTCAACAAAACCTCATCGATCATCACGTAAATGAAGAAAGAAAAAAATCGCCCAGAAACCGCTTAGGCACCCGTCTAGACGACTAAACGCTGGATCATCGATCATCGAAAAAAAACGCCCAGAAACCTCATCGATCAAAAAATATTCTATCTTAGTCCCTCAAATCTGTCTCTCGGATATCACATATCAGTCGCTCTAATCCTATAGAGTTTTGCAAAATGGTCACTTTGTTAGTATTTTAGTCAAACTCTAACCATTGTTATTAACTCCAAACGCAACATCTGCTATTAGCAAACTACCCTCATTTGGATGTTTCAAACAATTGTGAAGCTCAACTTTGGGTGAGGATTCTTTTCTAACTATTGGTGGAGAACTCAACTGGATTTGGGTTATTTCAAGCGGGTATTGGGCATAAAGCTAGTAAGAAATGGGTTGGGGATAGGGGTGCATTTAGTCCATAAACAGTTTGAATATGATAGTTACACTATCTATATCCGCTTACCTATCACGAATACACATATGCCTCAGTAAGATAAATTCATAATCATATTCGCTAAAACCGGAGACGAATATGCATGCAAATATAAGTAGATATACATGTCGATAGATAAAAGCCGATATACATGCAGATACAAAACGGATATTAAACTATTGTGTTTTTTTGTTGAGATTTACGTGAAACCCCCCTCCCGTGGACGTAGGCTAGTTAGCCGAACCACGTAAATCTCGTGTTTGTATTTGTTTTACTTGTAGAAGACTAGAAGTCATTCTCTGCTTGTATTATGTAAATCCGCTTCTCTCAGGAATTTTTAACAATTACTTGTGTTTTACCACACAATAGTCAACCATCACCTCAGATCAAACCATCACCTCAGATCAGAAATTTTACCACCTCCAATCTAAATAAAGGGGCTCTGATACCAATTGTTGGGCGCAAAGTCACGCCCTCTCGCCGCGGAAGCGATATCACCTGAGAGAAAGCCCTGACCTTTGTTATCACAAAAGCACAAGTCAACTTCTATATTCTTGTTTCTCGAAGGAAACTAGAATAGATAGTGAAATTCTTATTTCTCAAACGAAACAAGAATCGAAAGTGATACATTTCATCAAAGTAAAATATATTTCTCTCATCAGTTCTAAGACCGAAATATCGAGGGAACCTACAAACTATGGTAACTCACAGATAAGACAAAAACAAACACGAGATTTACGTGGTTCGGCTAACTAGCCTACGTTCACGGGAGGGGAGTTTTACTATGAGGAGAATACCAAACTTTACAAGTTCTCTCTCAACTCGCTCTTTCTTTTCTCTCAAAAGAAACTCTACACAACCCACTTGTTTTTTCCCACAATTTTCCCCACACACTATAACTCCTCCACCCCTTCTCTATTTATAGGAAAACCAAAGGGGGGGGTCCTAGTTGGCGGGTTGGGGGGAACGAGCGGAAAGGAGAGCCGCGCAACAAGAAACAAAATTCGGCGGGAAAAACCCGCGTGAGGTCCGTGCGTTGCGCGAACGAAAGACAGGCCAGCGTGTGCTGCCGGCTCGTCCAGCAGATGCCCGCCCCCCCCCCCCCCCCCCCGCCGCCACAGAAATTAGTATTGGTCTGATAATTTCCCACCGCGCCGTCCACAAATGTATTTTTGTTCTGATAATTTCCCAACAGTAATATCATCAACAGTTAGCTATTCACAACACAGCTATCACCATCTTTCATGCATAAATTATTATCTGTGTGACGTGAAATTCAGTTGTTCTTTTTTTCCTATGTTTTAATTTGACACTCACCCCTTGGCCATTTTATATGCAGCATCCTGAAGAAAAACGTTGGTATGACTTTGATCACCAGCGTATTTGTCCCTTGGCCGAAGAAAATTCTTTCGATACATCAGGTGCTTATATTCTCTTCTACAGGAGGGTTGCATCAGACTAAAGGTGGCACACGTTCCTTTATGTATCTTATAGTTGCACTTGGAGCAAATAATAATCCCATAGACAGAGACTTCAGGCAGGCAGAAAGAGTCCAGAACCACAGGATAACTGATTTTGTTAATTCATTTGTTCGATTTATTCCATTGAACATCTTTTTTCCACTTAGTTGATTCATATAGAATTTTTGCCTCTGTAAATTTGTGTTTTTTTGGTATGACTTTGATCACCAGCGTATTTGTCCCTTGGCTGAAGAAAATTCTTTAGAGACTTCAGGTGCTTATATTCTCTTCCACAGGAGGGTTGCATCAGAATAGAGATGGCACACGTTCCTTGATGCATCCTATAGTTGCACATTGAGCAAACAGTAAATCCATAGGCAGAAACTTTACGCAGGCAGAAAGAGTTCAGAACCACAGGATAACTGATTTTGTTAATTCATTTGTTCGATTTATTCCATTGAACATCTTTTTTCCACTTTGTTGATTCATATAGAATTTTGCCTGTCTGTAAATTTGTGTTTTTTTAGTAAAATTGTTCAGAAGATGTTGCTACTGATTCCGCTGGATATTTGGCTAATGGAAACTGAAATCTTGTTTACTTTCTAAGATGCCTGCGTTTTTCGGGTTCGGCTTTTATTGATTATATGACCCATGCATGGCTGCGTTCTTGTATTATGAATTGCAAGGTATTTAGGCGAACTACTCTTCAATTCTTTCTATTGCGCAAATTTTGCCTGTCTTGGCTAGAAATTGAAAAGTTGTTCATTAATTTTAATGTGTACATAGACATTTTATAATGTTTGTTACACAAATATTTGTCTGGACATCTAATCATTGTTGCATAATGGCAACAGGAAGTACGTTAAAAGCTAGTCAAAATAGGGAATCATTTAGGCAAGAGAAAAACAGATAAGAATGAAAAAAATGTGTAACATGGTACAAGAGTCCATTACAGTGGTAGTTATGTCTGAAAAGCCAAGATCAAATCTCTAGATCATCAAAATTAACCTCAAATTAATTCATCAAATGGTTCAAACAATGGCAACTACATGTCTGTCTCCATTTTTCTATCAATATATATATATATATATATATTAGATTAATGTGTATCCTTGTCATAGGAGGGGATTTCCTCATTGACGCCTCTAAAATCACATGATTGAGCGACATTGTGGATGATCCGTTCCGTTGAACTTGATTTACATATTCTAAAACCCCAACACACCAAGTTTGGGGTGAACCCGTCGCCGTTTGACCCTTCATCCACTCGTATCAATTTTAACGGTTTTGAATTAATAGAACTTTTCACATGGCTCGATGGAGGGTAAAACGACGACGGATTTACCCCAAACTTGGTGTGTTGGGATTTTAAAATATGTAGATCAAGTTCAACAGAGCGGATCATCCACAATGTCGCTCAATCATGTGATTTTAGAGGCATCAAGGAGCTCTCTCTTCTTCTCTTCATAATTATATAGACTATTATATATATATATAAGTATAGGTAAAATAAATAATATATTTTATATATTCTTTATTTATAGTATCCTATACGTAGTAGTACTACTTATAATATTTATATATATATATATGAGGAATATGGGTAACTTGGGCCAAGGATCATTGGTAGTGATGTGACACATCTTGGATGGTGATGCTCCATCTTCAAGGTGTGATGTATGGACAAGATGTGTTCCACATCACTACCAAGGATCTTGGTACAAGTATACCCATTTTCTTCTCTCTCTCTCTCTCTCTCCTTCTATATATATTATATATAGTATTATATATTATAATATATAGTATATATATATATATATATAATATATATATATATTATATACTTATATATAGATATATATATCTAAACATGCATTTAATTAAGCGAGACGATAATTAAAAAGAAGCACTTACTAGGTTCGACGACCCACTCTTAAGTTAATATCTTCTTCTTTAATCTTATTTATAAGAAGGATCTTACAAGAGAAACTTCTTCACACTACAATCTCACACTGAACTTCGAAAATAAAACTTGACTGAAAAAAGCACACCTTATAACAAACCATACTTCTCCTTATATAGGTGAGAAGGGAATCTAAAATACATACTTTAAAATGCCACTTGGCAACGCACTGACACTGCACTGGAAATGCACTGGAAATGCATTGACAATCGTACTGACAAAGCATCTACTTTCCAAAAGAGGCTTTATTAAAGTTCCTTTGGAAAAAGCTTCTTTAAGAAGTACTGAAGAATATGATGAGTGGCTCCCCGAGGCTCAACTCATAATGACCTACCTAATTTTCTTTTTCTTTTCCCATTAGGTCTGTTGCTGGAACTTGATTTAGTATTCCCATGACAGCTTTCCAAATATCTTCTTCGTCTTCTTCTCCTTGTGCATCGGGCAGAGTGCGGTCTTCTCCGCAAGAATTAACACTTTTACTAGACTGTGTATCCATAGTATCGAATACTTCAAAATATTGTCTTTTCATATGATCAAAACATTTTTGCTGAATCTCAGCCTCAGAGGCTTGCCGGTATTTCCGTCGAATAATTTCGCTAATTGCATCATTGGGTTAACCTTTTGAATTTCTTGGGTCATAGACCTCTCGAGAACATTATTATTTCTCTCTAATATTTCTTCAATCAATTTAACCTTTTCATCAATAATGATTCCCTGCCACCATCTACAATAGTGGTTTCTTTTAAGAATAGGTAGATGTAAATCATCCCAATCAGACTCAAAGGTCCATGTCCATATCCATGGAATCTCTGTTTCAGAGAAGAAGTAAACAGCACATAAACCTTCGACAATATTATTGTCTTCCATTTTTGAAATGAGAGGATGTGATTCTACCCAAGCCGAATATAATTTAGCTATGAGTTCTGGTAAGATGCTTAACTCAGCACCATAAATAGTCCACCAATTATAGAACCATGCAGGAATACTCTTGTGAAGAGCTTCTGGACAAAGCTTTATTAGCCATGTATGCTTATTTTTGAGATTTTGATATAAGAATATATTATAAAACGGTTGCTTATAATCCCGATAATTAAAGGAATAAACTTCTTTTGAATTTTGGGTTTTAACCAGAGGCAAATCTTGGTTTGGGTTTAGAGCCCACATTCGAGGTAAAATAACCTCTCTGATGATACATTTACTGAAGTTGGGAGGGACAGTTCTATTTTTCAGATCCCCAAAAATGGACTATTTCCATTCCTTTCTGCATAATTAAAGTCCTCATCCATGATCTGGATTTTAATGACAATGTGGGGTAATAATTGTCATTTAAATATATTGTTCTGATATTTTCAATATCTTGCATCGAGGAAACATCCTCTGGTTCTAAATAGAGAACTGTCTCTGACCACCTTTTAGGTGTCCACTTGACTTCTTGTTTTACTATTGTTGAGAATGGTTCAGGATTATTTTCCTGATTTACTTCATTTATAAGATCATTGACAATGCCTTTATAAAAGGCTGGGCTTTTAGCCTGGCTACCTGAATAGTTCTTTTTTGCTACTGTTCTCCAAGAACTGGATTCAGGATTAGGATTCTCAGAAAAATCACTAGGACTATAAGCCCTCTGAGAATTATGCTACTGAGGATTAGTCCCCCTGCCTCCCCCCCTTAAATAGGGATTATGCCGTTTCATGGGCACTCTGTAAAAATTCACGAGTAAGAAAATCGGGTAAGTAGTTATTACTACCTTTAATATATTCAATTTTAAATTCGTACATAGCAAGTTCAGCTTGCCATCTAGCAAAGATTTGTTTAGAAACAAGATTCTTAACATCATTTTCTATAACACTTTTAGCAGAACTACAATCAATGCGTAGTAAAAATTCTTGATTAAGAATATCATCTCTAAATTTAGAGAGGCATTTAATAATAGAAAGCATTTCTTTCTTAATAGTTGAGTAGTTAAATTGAGCTTTATCCCATTTACCAGAAGTAAATCTTACTAACTGTTCTTTATTATTAATAGGATCAAGTTGTTTTAAAATACCTCCATAACCTAAATTAGAGGCATTGGTTTCGACTATTTTAAACAAATTACTATTTGTTAAATGAGTACAAGGTAGACATTTAACATGAATTTTTAATTTTTTAACAGCTTCAGTATGCTGATCAGTCCAAGGTTTAGCATTTTTTTAATCTATTATATAAAATAGTTGTGTCTTGGGCTAAATTTTTATAATAATCAGCAATATAATTAAGAGAGCCTAAAAATCTTTATAGTTGCTTATTATCACTAATAATATTAGAAAATTTAGAAGCAAACTCTATACTTCTATCAATAGGAATTATTGTTCCTTTATGAATATTATGACCCAAAAATCTTACTTGGGTTAGGAATAATTTTATTTTGGGAGCAGATACTGCTAAGCCATTTCCGATAGCTAAATTTCTAAATATTTCTAAATGTTTGACGTGTTGGTCAAAACTTTGGGAAAATATTAAAATATCATCTATGTATGATAAGATGAAATCCGTATAAGGAAGGAATATTTTATTCATGATATTCTGAAATTCAGAAGGGGCGTTTTTCAACCCAAATGGCATGACATTCCATTCATAATGTCCGAAAGGAACGACAAATGCAGTTTTATATCTATCTTTTTTTTCAATTTGGATTTTCCAATATCCTGACTTTAAGTCAAATTTAGAAAATATTTTTACATTATTAATGCGATTTAGTAAATCCCTTTTATTAGGAATAGGATATCTTATCCATTTTAAAACTGTATTTAAAGGTTTATAATTTATAACAAGACGAGGTACTCCTCTTTCTTGTTCAGCAACATTATTAACAAAAAATGCTGTACAGCTCCAAGGAGAATATGATTTCCTTATTAATTTCTTCTCTATAATTTATTTTATTTTTACATAAATCTAGATATTCTTTATTCATCTGACAAGGTCTGGATTTTGTAGGAATATCTTTTTTATTAAAATTATCAATATATGGTAAAGAAACAATATGTTTCTTTCTTTCCCAGAAAGCATTAGGTAGATTACTACATATAATAATCTTTCATTTATCTTCTATTTGAGTTATTAACTCTTTTTTCATTTTAATTTGTTCTTCTATTTGAACAAATAAAACTTCTTCTTTTATAAAATTAATTTGATTTTCTTTAAGAATAACTTTTCTAACTTCGTTTAATAAACGAGTTTGATGATCAGAAATAAATTCGAACATTATTTCATTATTTTTATAAGTGGCTTTAATGCCTTTAGTATCTACATTAATAATAGGCATAATATTATGTAGAAAGGGAGTCCCTAGTATAACATCTTGAGAAAGGTTTTTTTACTAAAACACATGGAATAGGAATACAAGTTCCTTGAACACATATATGTGCATTAGGCAATTTATATTTAACATCTAATTTATTTCCATTAGCACTACTCAGAGTCTGGGTAGTAATTTCAAAAAATTTTGAAGGTATAATTCCTTCATTGATACAATTTAAATCTGCACCACTGTCAACTAAAGCTATAAGATCTGGTATAAAAATCTGTTCAGCTATAGCTAAAGTAATCTTTATATATCATTTTTGAGAGGTAACTTGTTTTAGAATTTGTAAAAAATTTGTAT